CAGCCGATAATCAGGCTGCAACGCGTTTTGGTCCACTCCACAAAACGTGACAAGGATCGCAAGGGCTCTGCTGCTACCGCTACCGCTGCTGACCTTTTAGCGGAATGGAAAGCAAACAACCTGACGCCGACTCTCAACTACCCAAATTCAGCGTGGCCCTGGCATGGCCCTGTCATGGCCTCGCCTGGCCTGGCCCAAGTTAATGAATCGTAACCCACTTGCACCATATGAAAATTAATTACCAAACTAGTTCGAAAAACTTTTCGCCACAGCAAAAGTTAAACGCACCGAAAAAAAGTTAAGGGAAGCCAAAGGCTGGGCCAACCAATCAATTTTCGTCTGCGACAAATGGAATGCTCCAAATGGACCCAAAAATCGTTAATCAAATTAAAATTTATTTCGTATTTTGACGCAAACTGCAGTGCAGACATGGTCCAGCAAATTTATCATGGAAGCCAATGTAAAATCCAGCAGATACTCGTACTAATATGTCCTTGTGTGTGTCTGTGTGTACGTGTCCGCATAATTTTGATGGTTCGCTTCGAAGAGGTTTTTTTTGGTAATTTCTCGTTTGCTTTTAGCGACCAGGCGGCGCATAAATTTGCATCTCAAATGGCTGTTTTGCGCTGCCGCTGCCGCTGTCTTTGCTGCTGCTGCTGCTGCTGTTGCTGCTGCTCCTCCTGTTGCTGCGCTGCCAGTGTTTGACCAGTGTTGCCAAAGTCCTTGTTGTGGCTGACGATTTGCCATTTTAATTAGGCAATGTCCTGTCAAAAGCAGGCTCTAACTCTGGCTCTGGTTATGGGTTGAGATATACAGATAGAGACTGTGATTTGACGGGTGTTTCCTGTCAACTGTTTGCCCACTCAAACAAAGTGAGAACGAAATCGCTTTGCTTTTGGTTGGCCCCTTAATGGTGCTTTGCGCAATTGATGGCCAACGCAGATAAATTAAGCTATAGACGTGGGTTTAGTACACATTTATTATCGGCTTTTAGTAGGACTATAAGCAACAGTTTCTCTTTGAATTCTGTATTATAATATAGTTTTGTATCGAGTGTAGTTTTAATATATTTTTTCTATTAGTTTTAATTAATAGTTCTGCTTATAAAAAGTTGAGTAATTAGAAAAGTGGTATTTTCCTGCTTACTTTTCCGTTATTCAAATTAGAGAAAAGTTTTGCATCCGTTTGACGTCCACACAGGCATACAAAACTGCAACTAAATAATTGTCAAAGACTGTGCAAACGTCAATACATATACCATGTAGTACAACACAAACACTTACTCATGTGTTCACCGACAGGGGACCAGGGCTCTGCAGGGGAACGCGTTGCCACTGCCGTTTCCGTTTCCGCCTTTTGCATGGCGAGTGCGTGTCTGCGGCTTTTGGCCACGAGTTTTGCATGTCTGTGTGAGTGATTGTGGGTGACTGTTGACAATTTTGTGGTCAAGTGGAGTCAACAGCAACACAGTGGCAACAAATTGCCACGAAAGATGTGTATATTTTATACCAGGGAGAAAAATGTTAACTTATATTTGAGTGGTTAGGTACAGAGTAGGGCAGAAATATTATAAATTTCTGGCTCTTCAATAAACTAATTCATTTAATATTTCGTTCACAAAATTAATTATCAAAGTTGCTCAGTTACGTGTTGGGACTACACAAAGCACTTTCATACCCCAAAATAATAATTAAATATAAAATTACTTTAAACAAAATTATACAACTTATGAAACTTAATTATAAGGTGCATTTTGTGCCTTTTAACTTTTCAAATGCCACGTTTTACCAGAGAAACGTCTCCCGCTCAGCAAAATGCAATTTCTCTCTCTCTCTCTCTATGTCTCAACCTGCAACTTTATGAGGCTGGCCATTTATTTTGCTGCCCCACTGTTTAGGCTAAGCTAAGCTATGGCTTCATTAAGTTTTCCCCATTGCGGTTTTTAATTAATTAACGTCTTCATACGTGTATACGTATGTGTGGGCTGCCGCACAGTTTACGACTTGAAAGGCAGAAACAGAAACCAGACAAAGTATTAAAATTAAAACCGGAGCATGTAGGCACGTAATTAAAAAGTATGTGTGTGTGTCTTGGCATCGTCCTAGACGAAAACTTATGCTCAGCCGCAGGCAGCAGAGCCAAAGAAACTGGAAACAGAGTCAACAACTTTCTATTTTGTCAATGAGCTGCAACTGCAACTGCAGCACAAAAAAAAGACAAAAAATGCGGAGTTAGAGTTAGTGGCATGAACCTCCTGTAAATGACATACTCTGCATATGAAACGAAAATAATTTTTCAATTCTCAAATGAAACTTTTGACACTCACGCACACACACACACACACACACACACACACTCATTCCAGACGCAGATACAAAAAGGAGAGCAAACTTTAAAGTTTGCAATTGCAGCAGCAGCAGTAGCATTTCCCCAATGTAAAGTGGTAAGCCAGGAGAGAGGAGCAGAGGAGCGGAGGAGCAGAGCAGGGGCAGTAGCAGGTCCAGCTGCAATTGGAATACTACTGTTCTGTCCTGTACGGTGCCACACAGTAAGAAGTATGTATTTCTTGGGGTTGGTGGGTTTTTTGTGGCACTCCTTGCTGTTTTTCTTTTAGCCACGGCACAAACTCCAGAAGGAAATTACAAACCAAACCAAAGTAAACGCCAAGAGCAGCCAAGGAAGTTGTTGACGCAGGACGAGCGCCGGCGCTGAGTGTCAGTGTCATATCCTGTGCCAAAAGTGCACACAGAACTCCAGACCCCAGGCCGGACCCATAACCAAGAGCCAAGACCGAGCCAAGACCAAGCACAGAGGACCAAGAACAGAGTCGAGTCGGGACCCAGAGTCGGGACCCAGACAGAGACTGAGGCTGCACATTACAAATGAATAATTTATGCGCGCGCTCTCAACGGCAGATGGATGTGGGATATGGATGAGAATGGGTAGGGAGGATGGAGGATGAGGATGTGGATGGTGTATGGTGGATGGTTATGGGAGCCACTGCAGACTCCTGCCACCCATAGACACAGTCACGGAGGACTGCGGCAACGTCCAATCCTGGTCAATGCCAAATGAGTTGTGGCAACGTCTCGCTGGTGCCATAAAAGGGAACAAGGCAAAACGGGAAGGCAGGCGGGAAGCTGTTGCTCTGCATAAACTAAAATCTTTTGCACCGAAAAACCTTCCCTACTTCCCTACTCATGCCTCCAGCATGGCTCTGGTGTTAAAATTATCTCCTTGGCAAGAGGCAAATAAGACGGAAGAAAAGCGCAAACTCGAAAGTTATTAGAGCAAATTTTTGCCTTTTGCCTAAGTAATGGCCAAGTGCATATCTCTCAGCACATATTGAGTTATGACTTAATTGGATAAGAGCCCGCTTTGCGGAACTTAGCACTCCCATTCGCCAAGCCAACCAAGCCCACTGAACTGGCCCATAAAGTTAGCCAGCCACCAAAGTTTAGAGAGCATTTTTCCTGGTGTTTGTGGTGGTGCGATGGAATGGATCTCGCAAGACTCTAATTATGTTCTTGGTGTACCCTTAGTAATTTTCGTCTGACTAATTTGCTTTTCCTCAGCCTCAAGTGTAGCCGCACCTCTCATGACTGTACCGAGTTGTGCACAGTCGATTGTGCAAATCGCCGCCGAGGGACTCCCCTATGTACGTACATAAGGCATTGTATTTGTGTGATAAATATGACGTCAAACAGATTTACGTCGCATTTGATAAGCCCGCAAGGGACAGAGAATGGTGCAGCGATTGGAAAAACCAAAGCACTAATTTATTTTTTATACTCAGTAACTATGAGGGAAATATTACATTTACACTGATTTCGACTATTTAATACTGAAAATATACGTACTAATAGCAACTGTCTGTATGGTTTACACTCCCACATGGAAGCAACACTAAAGAATCTCCAATCAAAGCAACTTTAATGCAAATACGCTAACATGTCCCTATCCATCTATCCCTTGAAGCCGCTTCCGTTAACAAATACACACACACAGACACAACAGCTACAAAAAAAGGATAGAAGGAATCAAGGATATAGAAACACCGACAGAATGGCACAGAGTGCGATTTGTGCTCATTTGTCAATGCACTGGTGTGCCCCGTTGCCATTCGCTCGATGTCAGTCCAAATAACGTACGCGTCGCGTCCCCTTTGGCCATGTCGACTGCCGCCTTCCAAATGCAGTTTGTAGCTGTCTTTGCATTTGTCGATGTTGCCTGCCATTTTGTTAGAACACGGAAAACGGAACACGGAACAATACCATTGTAAGTTTTTTCTGCTCCCTATCCATTTGGTACATCAAACGTTGGACGGCAATGCTGTTGGGATTTTAATTTATAATGCAACACTCGAACGTGTCGTCAAAGAGTTTCATCAATATGCACTCTAAAATCAACAGCACGGCGAAGTAAGCCGATTAAGCTATTCGGTTTTCCATCGCCTCCACGGATTCTTTTTATCTGTTGTGTTAGATGGGGAAAACAAAAGAAAAGGCACTTGCCACAAATATTTTTTTTTGATGAACTTAATTTTGTAAAAGCATTCATTAGGTCAAAAAGGTTCACAGAATTTATTGTTTTGTGTTTTGAAACTTTAATTAAATCCAAAGGGATTAATTTTGATTGTAGCTTCGCATTCCAAAGATTTTTAAACAATTATCAATCTTGAATACAAAGAGCGGGAAATTCCTTTGGGAATTAAGAGAAATATAAATCATTTAGCAAAATAGTCTTCTGTAATTGAGGCAAAGAGAACGGACCCTCTGTGTTGTGTACTCTGTATTGTGCTCTCTTTGCATAAATCTGTAGATTTCTTGGGTAAAAGAGTTTTCCCATAAGATCGCAGCTCATTATTCATTGCATCGTTCGATGGTTCGATGTGAAATCTCTCAAAATGTTTCAACGAGAATTTTTGCTATCAATTATTTTGATGTTTTTCGGTGCGTACAAAAGTGTAAAGTAAAGATATGAATTGAATACTTATTTGATTGAAAGTCCATGTGAGCTTACAAGCAACCACCTGGAGGTGTCACAATGGACGACAGGTTATCGCGTTCGGCAAGAGATGCGATGCCCGAACAGACTGTTCTGATGGCAGTGATGAAACCTTTCGCGAATGCCACAATGTAAACTGCACAGAGCACCAGTGCTCGTATGGCGGCTGCTTTAGTGAGAGCCAGCTGTGTGATGTAACACCTGACTGCTGGGATAAGACGGATGAGCATCCGCACCTTTGCCACAGAGAGCAAATGGCAGTGCCACAGCCCTTGGATACTGTTATCACATTGAGATGCCTGTAAGCAAAAGTGTAATGATCACCAGAGAGTGTCTAATTAAAAATGATTTCCAGGGACAATCAGAGTCGATACTCTCAAACGGATGAGTGTCTGGACAAGAAGTATTTCTGCGACGGCGTCAGGGACTGCCAGGATGACAGCGATGAAACCAATGGGAACTGCATTGCTTCTAAATGCCCCAATGACACATTTAGTTGCGCATATGGTGGCTGTCTGGCCAAGGCAAAGGCCTGTGATCATAAGATCGATTGCTGGGACGGCACCGATGAAGTGCCATCCATATGCTTTGAAATGCGTGGAAAGTCACAGAGCGGAATTTGGCCTAGTTATGCACCGAGAAGGAATGTCACAAACCGAACCAGATCGACAGTGCTAGTTTATCCACAAGTCACACCTCCCTCCAATGCCCCTGAATCTACGTCCGGGAATGCAAGCTGCATCATTCCCAGCAGCCTCAAGAACCTGCGAGTGAAAACACTTTTCAATGTACTGCCCCATACGTCTGGCTCATCGATATCCGACTCGGTTGTGGTACGATTGAGCTGCCATGGAAATAGCTAGCTGAATGGCAACGATCTAAACCACTGTCTTAATGGCATTTGGCAGGGAATCTGGCCCCAGTGCATTCCCATCTGCAGCCACAAGAAATTCAATACAGATCTCTCCATTCGGGCCTTCTGCAGCTACAAGGGGCAGATAAAGAGCTGCAAGAGCCACGACACCAAGCTGCTCCTTGGAACCTCTGCCACTGTCACCTGTAGTAGTCCTCGGCTACACTGCATTCCAGACTGCGGAAAGAAACTGCCAACCGTTCAGGAGGATCCCTGGCTGATTAGCATTTTTACAAGCGATATCTCATTGTCGAACTATACTTACAAATGCTATGGCGTAATCATCAGCCCATGGCTGGTTTTAGTTGAAAATCAGTGCACCGAAGAACAGAACGTAATGCGGTATGCCATTGCAGAGGGAAATCGATGGGCCAGCTTTGTAAGACATGAGGAACATCCCTATGAGCTCCACAATGTGGCCAACATTTTTCATGGGTATNATATAAATTCCAATTCCCCATTCAACAGAGGCCACCAGATGCAACAGCATTGTGTGGAGCTTCCTTAGTCTGATTGTCATCTGCAAGGCGCACGCGATTGTGGAGAAAGTCGAACATCAGAAGGAAGTGCTCGGCGAGACCTTCGAGTTGGCCAAACGCATGAAAAACCTGGATCTGTGTCTGTTTATCGATATATGCATGAAGGTCAATGCAGAGGAATTAAGTATCAAGAGGATGGCAACAAAAAGGTCAGGCTTAAGGTCTGGTCCGGAAGCTTCTGAAGAGGGTTCAGAGTAAATTGCACAACTAAAGAGTGGACGCTAAATGTCCGCGCGGTTTGAGCTTCGGGGCTAATGCCCCTGACGGGTAACACGAAAAAAGTCACAACTAAATTACATAGGCATCAGTGTAGAATCTGTAAATGTGACAGGGAAATATATTCCGTGTGTAATCCTTTGTAATTCATTTTAAGCTTCATCATTAACAGTGTTACCCTGCACAAGTTTGTTTCCCGGAAAAACTTTAAAGTGCGACTTTCCTCTTGTATTTCCGACAGGCCAAAAACTTTATCTCAATGAAAAACCTCAAACACATTAACGGCTGCTGGTGTTGGCCATTCAATCACGACAAAGTGCAGCTGCACAGCAGCAGGAGAAGAGTTCTTCTCCTCTGCCTTCTGCTTCTTATATATAAATAGTTGATGCTAGATGCTGGAACCTCTGCCACTGTCACCTGTAGTAGTCCTCGGCTACACTGCATTCCAGACTGCGGAAAGAAACTGCCAACCGTTCAGGAGGATCCCTGGCTGATTAGCATTTTTACAAGCGATATCTCATTGTCGAACTATACTTACAAATGCTATGGCGTAATCATCAGCCCATGGCTGGTTTTAGTTGAAAATCAGTGCACCGAAGAACAGAACGTAATGCGGTATGCCATTGCAGAGGGAAATCGATGGGCCAGCTTTGTAAGACATGAGGAACATCCCTATGAGCTCCACAATGTGGCCAACATTTTTCATGGGTATGTTATTCATCTGTAAAAATATTCATGGATCACTAACCGTAAGCAAATGTTGTTACAGCGAACAAGAAACGATTCTCCAAATGGTTAATCCACTGATACTTTCGGCATCAGTGCGACCTATTTGCCTGCCTCCAATACCTGGAACTGGTACCATGACATATTCTACGAAATTTACGCGTTACATTACCCCATTGGATAGTCAAAAGACTTACTATTTAGTCAATGTCAGTATGGAATTTTTAAAAAGGATTAAACTCATTGAAATAAGCGCACAAAGAGGCCCAAAAGAAGGACTTAACTAACGGCAACTAATAAGAATTGTTGAATCATAGTTCAACGACTTTTCCATCAAAAATATGCACAAATAACATTTCTTTTTATACATTGTTCTTTTTGTACTTACACTTTTTGTATAGTTTATTTTTTAATTGTTATTTTTCTCACTATTTGCAATTAATTAAACAATTAATAATGACCACGCACTCGGTAATATCTGAAATTCGAGCCCCGCCAGCCGGAATTGTCCCTCACCTGAAGCCATGGGAGGTGATTACTTGGTCCCAAGAGCAGCTCGGACGCATCTACTCGGACTGGGGATTGAAATTTAGTCGCCATCAGCGCTACTCTAACAGCATACAGTACTTGAATTATTCCTTGAACATCAACGAACGCGACACGACTGCTCTGATGAGACGCTGCAAAGTCAAAAGGATGAAGGGCATGGCACCCGAAGCCCTGAAGGACTGCACAAAGGCAGATGGTATAAACGCTGAACTTTGCTATTGCATTTTACTTTTTTTTTTGTATAACTGTAGCAATCCTGGGATGGTCGCGGCCACCCATTGTGAATCCACACGTTAGACTGGAGATATCCGATACACTCTACGAGTCAAATCGCTTCGAGGATGCCAAAATGAATCTTCACAGTAATTTGGGGCTGTTCAGAGGCGCCCAGGCCAAGCCCAGTATCAACCGCTTGGATGTGGTATGCTCTGAAAACTATCAATTTTTGATTCCCCCTTAACCTCGTGTCGTCTTCAGGTCGATGAGAACTTTAAAGATATGTTGAGGGATGAGACCACACCGGCAGTACACCGTCTGCTCAATCGCATGGAAAGGCATCGGGCCAGTCAGCCAAAGCCAATCAAGGATGATTGCGATGTTGTTAGCATATTGGAAACTCCGGTGAGTCAATTAATTTATATATAGAATATCTCGAATGTTTTTTGCTGCCTCAAATCCAGACAGTATTCGTCTCTCCACTGGAACAAGCCAGACGCAAGCGATGTTTTAATATATACAATCAGACGTATCTGGATAAATGCTGGGTGGATATGGCATATTTAAAGAAACTGCGCAGCAATCCCAATGTTCTGCCACAACAGGCAAAAAGATCTACGCCCTATTTAAGGAATCTGATGGATAAAAATTATGCAATGGCGCGCAATTTGACGGTTCGAACTTTGTTATTTTCTTTCCTTTGTAGTAATCCTAAAAAACTGATTTTATTTAGAAAATGCTTCAAGCACGTTGTCCCATGTACGCTAAGTTTTCTCAGCGATATCCTAACGAGGAACTTTATAATAAACAAAAGGAGGAAAATCTATACAGAGTTCAGTATCAGACTAGGAGAAATATGTTTAAAATATTACGTAGCATACGGCAGCTGATAAGAGTCGGTTCATTAGATGTGAGTTCTATGGTTGGGTTCTTTGATCCCTTCTAATGTGCATTCCTCTCATAGAAACTATCAACATTTATTGAGGAAGTTATGGGCGATTATATAACCATTAAGACGCATCGCACAATGCCATGGAAATTTGAATTCATTAATGAGGTCTACAACTACTTGGGTTTGGCCCGCATTAATGAATACATAATTCCCAGCGATATGACTGTCTTGCAGGGCAAACACCGCTTACTGACGCTCTTTGGACTTTCCCAAGAATCGAGCATGGTGCCCAAAGAAAAGCAGGAACAAAGCAAAACGATGAATGTACGAAGAACCGACTTAACGGATCCCAAGAGTGAGCTGTTCAAGTGGGTATTTCAATTGCAATTCCAATGTTTTGTATATAATTTAATTTTAAATTTAATTGCTTTGCAAGGAAACTATCCGCTCGCTACGAGAGTCGCATGAGATTCGCCAAGTATCCCATAGAACGTGCTTATCTGCTGCATGAGTTGGCCCAAGCCCATTTGAACAATAATTCATTTAATATGGCAGTTTCTCTGGCGCGCAAGGCAATGGAGGGTGAGTCTGGCAGGGACTGGATTGGATTACAAGTAGAGCTAGCTAGATATAAATTCCAATTCCCCATTCAACAGAGGCCACCAGATGCAACAGCATTGTGTGGAGCTTCCTTAGTCTGATTGTCATCTGCAAGGCGCACGCGATTGTGGAGAAAGTCGAACATCAGAAGGAAGTGCTCGGCGAGACCTTCGAGTTGGCCAAACGCATGAAAAACCTGGATCTGTGTCTGTTTATCGATATATGCATGAAGGTCAATGCAGAGGAATTAAGTATCAAGAGGATGGCAACAAAAAGGTCAGGCTTAAGGTCTGGTCCGGAAGCTTCTGAAGAGGGTTCAGAGTAAATTGCACAACTAAAGAGTGGACGCTAAATGTCCGCGCGGTTTGAGCTTCGGGGCTAATGCCCCTGACGGGTAACACGAAAAAAGTCACAACTAAATTACATAGGCATCAGTGTAGAATCTGTAAATGTGACAGGGAAATATATTCCGTGTGTAATCCTTTGTAATTCATTTTAAGCTTCATCATTAACAGTGTTACCCTGCAGAAGTTTGTTTCCCGGAAAAACTTTAAAGTGCGACTTTCCTCTTGTATTTCCGACAGGCCAAAAACTTTATCTCAATGAAAAACCTCAAACACATTAACGGCTGCTGGTGTTGGCCATTCAATCACGACAAAGTGCAGCTGCACAGCAGCAGGAGAAGAGTTCTTCTCCTCTGCCTTCTGCTTCTTATATATAAATAGTTGATGCTAGATGCTGGAACCTCTGCCACTGTCACCTGTAGTAGTCCTCGGCTACACTGCATTCCAGACTGCGGAAAGAAACTGCCAACCGTTCAGGAGGATCCCTGGCTGATTAGCATTTTTACAAGCGATATCTCATTGTCGAACTATACTTACAAATGCTATGGCGTAATCATCAGCCCATGGCTGGTTTTAGTTGAAAATCAGTGCACCGAAGAACAGAACGTAATGCGGTATGNAAATTCCAATTCCCCATTCAACAGAGGCCACCAGATGCAACAGCATTGTGTGGAGCTTCCTTAGTCTGATTGTCATCTGCAAGGCGCACGCGATTGTGGAGAAAGTCGAACATCAGAAGGAAGTGCTCGGCGAGACCTTCGAGTTGGCCAAACGCATGAAAAACCTGGATCTGTGTCTGTTTATCGATATATGCATGAAGGTCAATGCAGAGGAATTAAGTATCAAGAGGATGGCAACAAAAAGGTCAGGCTTAAGGTCTGGTCCGGAAGCTTCTGAAGAGGGTTCAGAGTAAATTGCACAACTAAAGAGTGGACGCTAAATGTCCGCGCGGTTTGAGCTTCGGGGCTAATGCCCCTGACGGGTAACACGAAAAAAGTCACAACTAAATTACATAGGCATCAGTGTAGAATCTGTAAATGTGACAGGGAAATATATTCCGTGTGTAATCCTTTGTAATTCATTTTAAGCTTCATCATTAACAGTGTTACCCTGCAGAAGTTTGTTTCCCGGAAAAACTTTAAAGTGCGACTTTCCTCTTGTATTTCCGACAGGCCAAAAACTTTATCTCAATGAAAAACCTCAAACACATTAACGGCTGCTGGTGTTGGCCATTCAATCACGACAAAGTGCAGCTGCACAGCAGCAGGAGAAGAGTTCTTCTCCTCTGCCTTCTGCTTCTTATATATAAATAGTTGATGCTACTTCTTTTTCGACTGCGACTCTGACTACGACGCCAACTTATACTCTTGATTCCGTGCCGCTGTTGCTGCTGCTCTTGGAGGCGGCAACCTTTTCTGTGTAAACTTTGCCCACAATTTCGGATTTCAGTGCAGTGGGTTGGTGTTGGGGAAATGTTGGATCTAAGCGTGAATCAGACTCTTCCTTTCTGGGTGTCGCTTCCTTAGTTTTTCCTGGTGTCTTGCCACCTGGCGGCGGCAGGAAGTTCCGAGCAGCAGCAACGCACACAAAAGACGCAAATAAATGAAGCCATTTGTTGTGTTGTTAGCTGATTTTCGATGCAAAGGTTTTGGCCAAAAGGTGGCAAAGTTTTGCAGCAACACCACCTGGCGGCACCATTCCTGAATCTCCTTTGCCTTTGAAAATTGCTGGCAATTCCCATTAGTTGCTTGTCATTTAAATTTTTTTTCACTCTTCTCTGCCGCTTCGGGCTTCGTGTGTTTCAAGTGGATTTAAAAATCCCTCGACTTTTGGCTCCCACCTGACTGAGGACTGAGGTGATGTACGTGCTACAAATGATGCTGCTGCTACATGCAACAACGGAAGTGGAGAATTTAGGAGCGGATATCATTTGTCGACCTTTTTGTCAGCTGCTAAT